GACATCGACTTTGACTCTCATTTGGATGAATGCCGCTCTTGTATTCGGGGAAAGATGTCAGAGGACTCGTATCCAGCATCCAAATCACCTAAGCCATCTGTCTTGGAAGTATTAGCAGCCGATGTTATGGGTCCATTCCGTGAAGCATCTAGAGATGGGTCTATTTACTACTTGGCTGTCCTAGATATTGGTAGCCACTATGGTTGGATTATTCCATTGAAGAAAAGGGCAGATGCTACTCGTCGCATTGCAGATCTCATTCGCCTCCTAGAGACTCAATATAGTGACCGTAAAATTAAGGGCCTACAGACCGATAATGCTCCTGAATTCACCGGTAAAGCCATGCAGGAATTCTTACGTAGTCGAGGGATCATCCATCGACACACTATGGCATACTCGCACGCGCAAAATGGTGCCATAGAACGATACAACCGCACTATCCAAGAACATAGTAAAACAATGTTGGATGCTGCAAATTTGGATTCTCGTTTTTGGGTTGATGGTATGCTCACGGCTGTCTATTTGGAAAACCGGACTACAACCAGTGCTCTCAAAGCTCATATAACACCATACGAAGCTCTCAACGGCAAGGCTCCAACTTATGATAATCTTCGTATCTTTGGGTGTGATGCCATCTGCCACGATCCAACACAGCTCGATAAACAGAATCCACGAGCCATAGATGCTGTCTTTATTGGCTACGAACCTACTCCATTTGAATCAATTAGAGGCTGGCGTTTCTGGGATTTAGATTCACAAAAGGTTTTTTATTCACGAAATGTGATTTTCTTGGAAGAATCTAATGATACCATGCCAACACCTACATTGGCGATCGTAGCAGGTATGGATGAATCTGGTAAATCAAGTGTATCTCCGGCATCAAGTCCATTGGCTGCGAAAAACACTGATAATCAGCTCTCGACGAGATCAGACTTTATGGAATTCCTCGATGAATCAGCATCCGACACCGATAAAATTCCACTTCCTTATCGCGCTCCATCTCTTCAACTGGTTTTGAGAGCTTTAGCAAGGAATCCTGGCCAGCAACGTCGTGTAGAAGTCCGAACACCTTCTCCAGAGTACGAAGATGTTAATAGTAACCATGATGGTGATCGAGACGACGCCTCTCCTGAGCCAGATCCTGCTCCCGCTCCAGGTTTTAATGAAGACGAAGAGGAAAACCAACCTCGTCGTAGTCGTCGTGAGAATGCTGGGAAGATTAAACCATGCTGTATCGTCAATGCTGCTACCCTTAAAGACGCGCCCAGTAACCATACCAACAGTATTATCGTACCTCACTCCTATAAAGCTGCCATCAAGTCTGATGAGGCTACATCATGGATCAATGCTATGTCTGAAGAAGTATCTGCACTGGTCGCAAATGACACTTGGGAACTAGTAGAAGCTCCTCGCTCAGCACGCATTCTTCCTGGCAAGTGGGTATACACTCCCAAACCAGATGAGTACGGTATTGTCACTCGGTATAAAGCTAGGTGGGTAGTCCAAGGAAATCGTCAGATTGACGGAGTCGACTTCACCGAGACGTTTGCTCCAACATCTCACCTTCCAACACTCCGAATTCTTATCTCGTTGATTGCTGCTCATGGCTGGCATTCTAGCACTTTGGACATTACTACTGCTTTCTTAAATGGTGAAATATCTGAAGAGGTGTATGTGCGTCAACCAACTGGGTTTGACGACGGGACTGAACGTGTCTGCCGTCTTCACAAATCACTGTATGGCCTTCGTCAAGCTCCTCGTGTATGGTTTCAGCTGCTATCCTCTTGGATGTTGGAGCATGGTCTTTTGCCGTCTAATGGTGATCCGTGTCTGTATGTAGGCAAGTCTAGTCATGGTCAAGATATCTATGTCCTGGTACATGTTGATGACTTCTTGATCGCATCGTCTTCTGCAGAAGCAATTGCTGAACTAGAGTCATCCTTGGAGTCATCGTTTCGTTTGAAGAAGGGAGGGGACCTTGTATGGTTTCTGAACATCAATTTCGAACGTGACTTCAAAGAAGAATAAAATCTACATGTCTCAAGTCAAATATGTTGACGACATTATCGGGGCATTTGGAATGACTGATTGTAAAGCCCAGCCGACACCTCTAGCACCAGGATATGATACTCCACAACCAGACTCACCACCTTGTGACAAGCCTAAATAGCAAAAGGCGCTTGGAATGCTGCTTTATATAGCACGATGCACTCGACCAGACTTAATGACTGCTGTCTCAATTCTGGCCAAGTACTCATCTAATCCTACCCAGTATCATTGGGCTGGTATTATCCATGTCCTTAGCTATGTAAAAGGTACTCGTGAATACCGACTTAGTCTTGGTGGTGCTGATCTGCTAGTTTACTCAGATGCGGACTGGGCCAAAGACGTCAAAGATAGAATCTCTAGATCTGGTGTCGTAACATTGATAGGGACTGGAGCCGTATGTTGGAGCTCTAGGAAGCAACAACCTGTAGCCCAGTCGTCAACTGAAGCCGAAAACTATGCTTTGGCTGAGGCAGT